GGTATGATAGCATACCTTCTTACCGACCGAGCCCTCGGCACTGGCTGCAGTTTTTTTTTATTATGAGAATTGCAGCTGGCCACCGCAGCAGCAGTGGCTGTGTTGCCCGCCAATAGCATTGAGTTGCATACCCCTGATCCCGAGATATAAATTTCTCTACATAAAAATACGAGTAAACACAAATAAATGCCGTGGTTTACCACCCTTTTACCATTTAAAGGGCTGAGAGGTCATTGTCGCACCGTCACTGTTGTGAGAGTTGCTTTACTTCTAAGATGTGATTATCCGTCTCGAATTAAAACCGATTTTTTGTTTCTTATTTCTAGGGGGTTGGACTGGGGGCACGCGGTAGCGTAGTGGTTAAGGTACTATGCTACAAGCCCGAAGGTCGCGGGTTTAAGTCCCGATGGGGCCATTGAATTTTTTTCAATTGACCTAATCCTTCCAGCCACACTATGGCCCTGGGGTTCACTCTGCCTCTAACAGAAATGAGTACCAGGAATTAATTAAATAATTTTCCTGGGGAGTAAAGCACGGCCGGCGCATAAGGCTGACAACCTTACCGCCATCTTTGAGCCGACTGTCTAGATAATGTGGGACCCTCAACGTCTCACAACACTATGGGCCTTCACGGCCTAGTACAGGGATAGCTTTACTTTGCTTTTTATTTTTTAGTGGGGTGGGACTAAGTCCCTTGTGCTGTGGTCACTTCTGGCCTATTGTACCAGCCCCGGATGATAGGTGAGGGTGATTGTGGAGCAATTGGTGGAATGAAGATTGGCAGGGGCAACCGAAGTACTCAGAGGAAACATGCACCAGCGCCCCTTTGTCCACCACAAATCCCACTTGACCAGACCCGGGACTGAACTCGGGCTGCCGTGGTGGGAAGCCAGCGACTAACCGCTTGAGCTACGGCATAGCCAAAACCGAATTTAGAATTAGGCATACTGTACCTGCGCTGACCACAAGACATACTGTACCTGCGCTGACCACAAGACACTAACTGGCACTTACTTCGCCGACAAGCGGCCGTCGCTCAGTCGGTATAGTTCGCTTGAGGCCTACTAGTTTTTTTGTTTGTTTGTACCTGAAAACCTAAATGTTGTGATCGGTTGTGATTAATCGATTCTGGCTTCACAGAGCTAGATACCACCAACAAACTTATGGTCTTTTAAACACAGGAAGAATACTCATTCCCAAAACGTTATGATACCACAAAAAGTGGGTAATATTAGCTTAATAATGCTTATTAAAATTAACAGTTGGTCATGTAACTGTAATAATATATAATGTGAGTTAAGGAAAGGTATTTTCTGTTTGAATCAGATGACAGCTCCACATCCCGTTTTTGAACATTAGACTCGGCGAACTAGGCTGAGCTAGTAATCTTCTCGTAAGATTTGAAGTTTTCACGGCGGTGACTATGAAGAAAGCAGTCTTCTGGGATGTGGCAAAGATGAGGCGATACATTCCTCCGAAATGTCGGTTAACACATTTACACGGTACCACATCCCAGAAGACTGCTTTATTCATAGTAATCTTCTCAGCGACATTTATTAGGCACATCAATATCGTCTTGGCCTCAATATCACCTTTCAGCTGTCACCTTAGTGTTTCTCTCACCGCTTGAATCATAGTTTTATAATTCCTTTGGCTATTTTGTCATCAGCCTTCTCCAATAGACCTTACAACCGCACATGGCCGTCACTTCTCGCAACCGTTGTTCACCACTTCTCGTGACCGTTGCCTATCTATCTTTATGTTTATTTATTTGTTTGCCCGCTTCGGTAGAACACTTTTGACTCTTCTCAGGGTTGTGCCACGGTAATAACTGGGGCGACAAGGAGACTGCACATTTAAAACTAGTCCACTGATAGAAATAAAATACTCTATTTCTGCTTAATCACAAATTGTTTAATTCAGAAGCAAACACTATATCTTTATTGGCAAGTAGGGAGTAACGTGCCCTTTTATTATTACCAAAGATTAATCGAACCAAATAAATACTGTTAAATTTAGATAAACTTGGAGAGAGCAGGTAAATGACGTCTGCCTCTGGTGAATTCTAAGTGCCAAGTCCGATACGTCTGTCTCTGATGAATTCTGAACGCCAAGTGCTTCTGCCCACTCTATTCTGCGGGAGCGTCACTTCATCACCGTATAGGATTTGAACCGACGGCCTTTCTCCCATACAAGAATAGTTTCTAATGGCTGATTTTAACTGCCAATTCATCATACCATCAGTACAAGATAATCACATTACTAACTTTGAGAATAAAGAGATCCAAAGATATTGAATCCGGAACCCTACATGTGAAAGCGCGTATTTCTTAGTTTAGGGTCTAATTACACCCTTTCGAAGACACTTTAATAACAGCTACCCTTTTAGCAAAACAACATTTACATCTTGGGCAGACAACAGACATGTCCTTTTCATAATGGGCCTCGACCCTTTTGCGGTCACCCAAGCTCCAGGTAACAAAACAAGGCAGTTGTTCCTGTCTAAATGCGAAACTTCTTAATGGATGGGTCTCCCTTATAAATCAGTCACTCTATTGAAATGGCTAACGAGGAACATAGTGTCCATCAAAGAGTATTGAAAGGTTTCGATGGTTACAACCTTCCATCCATGTTTCACTTGTATGATGTTTGTTTCTGTTGCACTTCTTTGTCCCTCATTTGGCCTACTTTTTGACAGCGAAGACTTGATGTGATGTTCCTCCCACACGTTGAATTGCTTTTATTGAACTACAGTGTCATACCTCAGACAATAGCACTCTTCATAGCTATCACTGCAAGAATTTCAAATCCAATAACCAACTTGTTTTCTTGCATTAAGAGGGTAAAACCATTCTTCAAGAATGACACCTGAGCAAAATGTATGAAAACAAAACACAAGTCCCCAAAAGACGTTGTAGTTCAGGGTGGTGGTGAGATTCATAGAGGAGAAGGAAAAGAAGAACAAGAAGTGAAACAGACGAGATCTGAGATATGAATTTGTGATTCATAAATTGGGCATATTTCAAGATAAATTAAAGATGAATTCTTAAACTTATCATTCACATGTTTATTAATAGTTAATAAAGTACATAAAGAGCATGAATAATATGTCATGACAACATGACAGCACATTACATGAAGAGTTGACAAATTAAACAGTGGAAAATGCTATATTAACATTCGAGGCATGAGGACTAGAATGCACCTCTAGTTGGTGTTTGGTACAGGGTGCATATTCATAATCAAAATAAAACTGAACACTTATGCAGTTGTTGAGGATTACTTAAATACAATATTTTAAATAAGATGACTGAGTACACCAATCTTATAACCAAACACCACAAATACAGTCAATCAGTTTTATGACTTCAGAAGCTATAAACCAGTTTAAAGCCATACTGGCCATCTTGATCATCCACCCACACACATTATTTTGTATCATTTTAAGCAGAAATATTGTTTCACACTACATTCTATCAACATTTTATAAATCACTGCTTTTAAAAATACCAGCGCACTTTCCTTACATATTATGAATGCTGTAAATAAGATAGTCTTAATACAACAGTAGTTCTCTTAGCTAGCTGATGATCCATTCCAAACTGCCAGTATTCTTCTGAATTTGGAAGCAATCCTATTAGTTCATAATACCAATTACTTTAACATATTTGTTTTTTTAATTAGAAATAAAAGTAAAAAACATGACTGTGCAACATGAACTAATTTGCTTATCTTCAATAAAGTAAAGAGCTAATTATAGCCAAATATACAAGAAGTCATACAATTTTATGCCAGTCGCACAAACCTTATGACATCTGTGGCCATTTATTTTAAATATAGTTAGAGACAAAGAGCAACCATGGAATGTACCTATCAATACTCAGAATACAAGAGTTACAAGAATCAACACCAGGAACAGCACTTTCATATTTCCTTATTAGCAGGAACCAATGACATACATTTACATGAAAATGTACTCACTAATTGCAGGAATCATAATTCAGAGTATTCCAGATTCAATTGTGGTTAAAGAATAACATGGCAACATATCCCAGAAAACCATATCAGAATATTCAGTGCTGCGAGTATGTGCACTGGCAGTTTCAAGTACTCCAAAGAAATGCAATTACCATATCAAACCATAAGTACACATAACATACAATGTGTACTCACCTGTTTCACATGATTAAACAGAGATTATTCCCATGAAGACCACTAATCAAATGATCCTTGTATGACAACACAGTGTGTTTTCTGTGAGATGGGAGGTACATTTTTAAATACTATTTAGATGAACTGCAGGTTTAATTGGTTAATTACTGCTTCACATTAAAATATCAAAATAAATTACAGGTTGTTAGAAACACTGAGCTCCACAATGCATTTCATAACTAATGCTTTATAGTCTTTTGACAAAATCACTGTTACATTTAAATTGAAAACACAGTGAAATAAAACAGTTTTTTAAGTAACAATTGCAACATCTACTACAGCATTTATTGCACTCCAGTCCAGCCAATCATGCTATTAACGCTCCACATAAATATACTCAGTACAAAACATATGCAGAACAATAAACAAATAGAACAGGTTCAAAAACAGGTATTAGATGTAATAAGTGAAAAAAATTAATACCACGAAATTAATCATATAAACATTAGCTGGAAGACATAGAAGTGTATCCGAGGCCATTTTTAGGAGCTTCCATGATATTTTGTTTTCCAACAAACATGTATCCCACAGTAAAAAATAATTTTTCCATTTGGTAACAAAACTGAGCTTGGACAGAGAAATATATACGAAATATTGCACGGTCTGTCCAAGTTCCTCAATAAGGGTACAATTACCCACAGCAGAAACACAGAGAGACAGTCTTGCATAACTCTGGCCTGCTTAGTTCACTCTGACAAATGTCAGTCAGTGTCTCTCCATGTCATGTGCTGCTGAAGATGGTCAAATACTTCCAACAAATTACATCAACCCACACCTGCATTATCCACTGAATTCAGACACATTACTGAGCACTCTGCAACACAGCTTCATCTGTCAGCAATATCTGTCCACACGTGACACCAATACAACTTCACAGCCTCTACTTCCAGTTCCTGACTTGTGCAAATCTTGAATTTACAGATACAAATGTTTTCCTTCTTGTTTGCCTTAACTTCAAGATTTCAAAGATGATGATTTACTGTCTGTTCTGACAAGAGGACTCTTGTAGCTTGCAGGTGACGAGTTCAGATCCACCTCTTCCATAATCTGCAAAACCAAGACACATAAATCTCAGCTGCTCACAGTGATGACAATGAAGAGTACTGCATTCTGAGATGCAACACTATACTTCAGGGAGAGTTCCACTGCACTTCATTAAGCACAAAACCAATAGATGTGAGGGACAGTCAAGGTATACAGGCTACAATTCATGGTCCATAAGAACTTAACAGAGTCTGCAGTACAGTTGCAACTTGTACAGGGATACTGAGGGTAATACAAATTGTGTATACTGCTCCAGGATACTTACACTGATCAGAGAATCAAGACCAGTTAGGAAGCCTTCCTCATGATTGCCCTGTACCCACTGCCGACGATGATTAACCACTGTTCCCTCTGGTACAGGGAGAGTTTTGGCAAAATCAATGATCCATGCTCCAACTTTGGTGTCATCATAGATCATAAAAATACTGCTTCCCACCACTTCATGTCTCTGGAAGTATGAAGACTGCTCAAACTTCTCACGGATCTCCTTCAGACGAGCCAACAGCCTTTGTCTCGTATCCTCTTGACCACCGAGAAATAATGCCATGGTCACCATAACTTCTTCACGAGATTTCACTTTCTTTAAATCAGTAACTGGTGGCGATCCACGGAACTAGAATTAGAATAAGACTGTATAAGACATGACGTTTTTAATCAATTATATTTTAAATATACAGTGAAAATCCTTACTAATTCAGAATTCATAATAAGTTGGACAGCTGTCTTTTTTTTTTCTTGCACATTCTGGCCTTGATGAACACATTGCCATGATCAAGGATTGCAAACTGACACTTGCAGTGCTAGCATACACAACACCAGACACACGCACGCCTCACATCAAGACCATTTAAAAGAGATTTTAGAGTTGAAGCATTCTACACCTAGAAGATCAGCTGCAAGCAAATATGTAAGAGAGCTAATCCAGAACTTTCTACATTTACATGAACAGTGCATGTTAGTGTATTGCCTAAAAAGGCACATAAAGTCCATTTTATAACTTCCCTGAACATATTTCCTATCATATATTCTACAATTCATACATAAGGATAAGGGTTTGCTCCCAATTAGTCCAAAATAGTGATGTCTTACTGCATAAACAAAATATGCTTAGTCTTTTCCTTTATCTGCTACTCTGTAACATGGTAGGGCAGCCCTACCTTGAGTTTCTTCTATACTCTCATGCCCTTTAAAGGATGAACAATTTATAGTTCACATAGTTGATTGAGGGGCTATGCTACAAGCCGGAAAGGTCGCGGGTTCAAGTCCTGATGATGTCATTGGATTTTACTCAATTGACCTAAGCCTTCCAGCCGCACTATGGCCCTGGGGTCAACTCAACGTCTAACAGACATAACTGCCAGGAATTAATTTTCATTTCATTCATCCTGTTGTGTTATAATATACAATTTCTTTATTAAAACCATCACAACTAAATTGAGGTGGTGTATATATGTTAGCCATGTATTTACCTGATGATGGCTTTTAATAGCTAAAACATGTAGCAGAGCCAAACTAGGCACTGACCTAAATATAGGTGTGTTGTGACAGTTTTAATAAAGAAACTGTATACCAGGAATTAATTAAATAATTTTCCTGGGGGGTAAAGCGTGGCTGGCACGTAAGGCTGACAACCTTACCGCCATCTTTGAGCCAATTGTCTAGATCAGGTATGTCAAACTCAACTTGTACAGAGGGCCACCCCAGCCCTATAAATAATAGTCCAGGGCCGCACTTCAAAACAGAAATATGCATTAGATTTTGATATTCCTAGTTGATAATTTAATGTTTAATTATAACCTTTATACGTTCATCACAATGTAACATCAGCACCTGTCCCTGTGTGAAAATGAACTGAATGACAATGTACAAGAGACTACCGGACTAGTAGGAAGGTGTATCTTTTCTCAATGGTCATAAAAGTGAAAGTTTGCTAGCAGCCCATTAGACAATGGCTGGGGGTTGCAAGCTAGTTTTGAAGGTAGAAATCCCTTGCACTTGTCTGTCAGTTGTCACCCTCCTTGCATTCTTACTACGCCTCCAAAAGGGATTCTTGGAAATACTTGGGGTGGTGAGGCTGTGTGGATTTTAGTGCATTACCCTTCTGAAATACAATAGTTTGTCCTTCAGGAACTTTACAAACCGTTAGTTGGACAAACCCTTCTGCAATTCTCAGAATCACTTTTCCTGCAGCCTGCTAATTTATGTCAGCGTAAGACTTCTTGTCTTCTGGTCTGCTGGAAAATTGTCTTTACAAAAAACATTTCTGCTAAAATTTTAATATTGATTTTAATATCAATTAACTCTAAAAGTTGAGGGGCCGCACTTTGTGGCAATGGGGACCACATGCGGACCCAGGCCGCATGTTTAACACGGCTGGTCTAGATAATGTGGGACCATCAATGTCTCATCACAACCCTATTGACCTTCACGACCTGGTACAGGGATAGCGTTACTTTTTTTTTATTTCCAAAGCTTCTTTAGTTCTTACATAGGTGGCACTATAGCGGCCTCCGTAGTCTAGGGGTAACGTTCCCACCTCATGACTCAAGGTACGCGGGTTCAAACCTGGCAGAGCTCGTGGAATTTTTAAGGGCAGAAAAATTCAGGGAACAAGTTCTCCATGAGGGACTTTAAGCCGTGGGTCTCGTGTCGTAGATTTGCGGCACGTAAAAGATCCTCATGTCTCTTGGAGACCTCTGAGCAAAATTAGGCAAAAAGTTTCCTGCCCAAGTAGTTTCCAATGCCTCTGGTAGATGGGGAAGTTATAGGGTACCACTGCCAGAAGAGGGCTGACCTTGCTGGCAGAAAGGGGAGATAGCGAACACCAGTACCGGTAGGGTATGGCAATAGTAGAAATTAAAGGGGGACGTACAATAGAGTACTAGTCGCGGTGCATGGGGAAACCCACCCCTTCTAATACTGAATACTGAATTGGTGGCACTATGCTAGTTTAACTTCTAGAACCCAGTCATCTACAAAACTGGCCAAAACAAAAAGCCCATACATTAATGCTATCATATTAGTGCATGGCAATGAGCATTTCAACATACAGTCACACCCCATTAATCAACATTTATTAGTTCCACGACACACTGTTGATTAGTGATTCATTGCTTAAAGAATGTAACTTACAATTTTCTGTGCTCTTCATTGTAGGGCCCATAATTTCACTAATTTTATTCAGAAAGTTGCAAAATATGATTAAAAAGAGTGAACATTGATAGGGTCACACTACCAGAATAACAGAATGGCTGGCTGACAACACTGAGCTTGTAAACACTGCAGACCATGGAACAATGATCATTTGGGTTAAATTGTGGGCCATCAACTAGAAGAGGGTCACTGTACATATACTGTGTCTGAAACACCTCTGAGAGCATATCATGATCCAGTTAGTGAAACAGATTATATTGTCATTAGAAAGTTACCAGACCCTGCTTATAATAAACGATGAGAACCAAAACTGGCACACTGTGGAACTCAAACAAATGTGACTTTTCTTCCACAAGACTGCTCTACTCAACATGTGATGTACCTTCAGAGATGTTTTAGACAAAGAACACCTCTCGTACTCACCTTCAGAGCTTCCACTCTAAATCCCTGACTGCAGGTTGAGCTCTGCTGTTCCCGAAACTGCATGTAACGGAGCTTGGTGACTGCCTTATCGCGATGCTCTTCAAAAGAAGGCGCTGATGGGTCTACTGCAACCATCTGCAGATAACACACACAGAAATTTCAAACTTTCCCATTGCATATCACTTCACCTCAAGTCACAAGGAGCCACAAGGACTCTTTCCAAGGACATGATCACAAGAAAAGCTGTTTACAAACTTGTGTTTAAGTAATTTAATACTACGAATATTTACTGGTCACCCTGGAGTATTCAGGAGAGAAGAACAGATAAAAAAGAATACTATGATTTTTATCATCAATATTTAATATTTATTTATTTTCAATTTTGATTTTCTGAAAATACAGGAAATTTGGGGGGGGGCACATATGCCTGACTTTCTCCCTTCCCCCTGCATTAAGATCCCTCAACTTAAATCATAATGGTACCTCTTAAAAATATGTGTGTTTTTTATTCATTTCATGTCAACTGAGCAATCATATGGTGTCAGATTATCTTCATAATGATTTGCCCAATAAATGCAGGAATCCACCATGCAACACATATGATTATGGGCCTGTCAGTATTCCAACAGCAAAAGCTGAACTCTGTGCTGGGCCTATCAGCAACATATGTAACACTTTCACAGCACTCAAGATTCATACTGTAGTCTTCTGGGCTATTAACTCTAATCCTACACACCTGGTCCCAAACTGATACAACCAAAACATCTGTCTACAGTAAAATCATGTTAATTGGACATGAATTTCTTGTACTAAATAACGTAACATAATGTTACATAATGGGAGAGGCTGTAGAGAAATCATGCCAAACCAAGAAACCAGTCCTCCTAGTAGGAAACCACCTCTATTTTAAGAATTGTACAAAACTGAACCGCTTGCAGTAGAACTCCTCAGCTGGGCATTGGGCATTTATGTTATCACTCTGGGGAGGCCACACTCCACTGCTTCTGTATACCTGAAGCCCCTCACACTTCAGGATGTTCCTCTCAAATGTTGGTATCCAACTGGCAAATTACGGATGTAACTAACTGAATGGCAGCAGAACCCAAAGGTTCAGTACTAATACAATCACTAACACTAACACTACTACTACTACTACTACTACCACTACCAAAGCCTGCCACTGAACATGATCCTGGCCCAGCCGTATTCACCCCCTAACTCCTCAATCCCCACCTACATCCTTGTGATCCATCTTACTAACTAACTAAGTATCTGGCAGCATAACACGAAGGTTCAACACCGTTAATACCAAAGACCACCATGTGACAGGATGTTGAGCCAGTTCTGACCACCTCCCATCCTGACAACCTAGTTCTCTAAGACCACCTTGACATTACCGTCCCCTCTCCTCCGCATTCTTCAAGTCTCAACAGAAACAAGTGCCCACCTTCTGATACAGATCAGGTCTTGCAGTGGTCTTCTGCACTTCAGATTCCAGGAATGTACGAGTTCCCATTTTAACATCCATGACATGAGGATCAGAGAAGCCGTGAAGAAGATCTTGCAGCTCAATGAATTTCTCTCCCTTATATTCCACCTCTCGGAAGTACCGAGGCACGATGTCCTTCATAGCAGGATCTGAACCCAGTGCTTCATACACCTCACGCTCGGCATTTTCAGGTCCACCGCTGCGCTTCTTCCAGATGGTACCAGGACCTGCTGGGGCAAAGCAGTCTGGGTGTCCTGACAGCTGGAACCATGAATTCTGTCTGTTTTTCAGGATGATGTCACTAGCTGGAGCTGTGAGATCTAGGGCATTCTGAAACAACAACAGGACAAACACAATTATATAACAAGACTGTCAAGCTGCAATCTTTGCCATGGTACACAGTTCCACATGTGCACCTCGGTATTCTGAACGCTGCCAAATATTTCCAGTGAACACAGTAACAATATTCATTTAGTACAATGATGGTTAGTTAGTATGAGAGATCCTAACTTCTGACATAGGTAATTATGAAGGCTTGTGGCTATCTGCTTGCTTAGCTGCCTCTTTGACCCTGAAACTGGAGGCAGTATATTCTTTTGAAACGTCTTTAATTCCCTATTTGACTAAAAGATGTCACATCTCAGAAAACAGCCATCTTCAGTGGCTGTAAGAAATAATACCTTCTGGTATATGCCGCCATGTATTCTGGTAAATAGGAATCAACGTTTTAGAGGAAACATGTTCTGGGTTGAAGCACTCTACATTCTTCCCTTCAGTCAAGGATCAAATCTGACATCCAAATGAAACAACAGTTAAAATAATAGTTCTGTTATCTTATTACATGTGATACCGTGTAGTCTGGTAGTTCAGCGGCGCGTTGAAGGAAAATAATGCCTCGGTCTTGTAGGGCGGACAGCCAGAGAAGCAACCAGTTGGCTGAAGATGGAAGCAGTACATTTCTCCCAAATATCGGTGAACTTCTGCCCAACTACATGGTGACATATCCCAGACAACAGTGCACTTCACAGTCACCACTGTCTGACGCAGTCTAACACAGGTCTGCATATTATTTACTTAGCTCTTTTTAGACAGGAGATATGGAATTAGTGATGCTAAGATGTGGTTAATAAAAAAGCAGAACACAAATTTCGATCTTGACATCTAGAATGATAATTTGCATATACATCGCTGGCCTCAAAACACCTTCACGTCTGCCGTCATCAGAAGGACGTAACGCGGGCAGAATGCAATGTACTGCAAGATGGCGGAGGTCATGACGGAAATACTTCGTCCACTATTACAATGATGAGCTCTCGTCTGGTGTCAGCCGCTACCAAGCGAACTATAAGATAAGTTCCCCTTTGAGCGGTCACAATGAAACGCTCCAAAAATGGGCATATCAGATTCGCCATGCCTGTCCACAAGAACGTCTTAACTGATTTTCATAAATTCGTATACCGGGAAGTATTACCGGAGTCCGTTTACGTACTACACTTCTGATTAAACGGGACACGTCACACGAAGGTCTCTACGCACGTTTCTGCGCGCATATCAGGTTTAACTCGAGAAAGATGTTTCCGACAAGAAGGCTGTAGTGACGAATGAGTGAAGCACACATTCTTATGTCCGACCCACTTTTCCGTAATGATACATGCATGAATTGCAAAGGGCTTGGAAGGAGCGGTCGTGGCCTAACCGAGATACTGTCCTGGCATTTGCCTGGTGGGGTCAGGACAGCATGTGTCCCGACCGCGATTCGAACCGGGCACCTCAGGAATACGAGTCTAGAGCGCTAGCTGACCAGTTCAGTCAACCGATTTCGACCAAATTTTACAATGGAGGTCGTTGCTCGTTTATCTGGGCTGACTTATATAACTGTAGTTATTAATTTATACAACTGTATATATGACACAAACTCCGTCCTAAGTGCAACAATTTATTGTAGTTCTTTCGTATTCCTTTCTTCTACACTACATGATATCAGCGGTGAGGATTCTGATATATCGAAACCTGTTAGCAACGGAGAAATGAACAATTGAAAAGACTAGTGTTTTTTTAAAATTTAAACTACGGGCAGTGTAGCAGCTACGTAAGAATACACACCTGATGATGGCCATTTGCGGCCGAAACATGTAGTGTAGAAGAAAGCAAGACGAAAGAACTACAATACATTGTTGCACTTAGGACGGAGTTTGTGTCATATATTGTGTAGAGTGTAACAGGATGCTTAAATATAATATTGTATACAACTGTAGTTGTAATTGTAACTGCTGTAACTGTAATTGTTTTTGCATTATATTCATTGTGTGTAGTGTATCCTTTACTGTTTGTGCAGTTTTGTGTGATGTGTTTTATTTGAGCGTGGTGTGTTACTTTGTGTGATGTGTGCTGTCTTATTGTAGTACCACTGCCACCGGGAAAAAAAACCCATTTGCAGTTAAAATAAACAATAATAATAAAATAATTTATACAGAGGTGCTCTGACGTTAGAATTCGGCAGTGTGGGGTCAACAGCGGGGCCAACGCGCCTGGACCCTGGCGCCGTGTAGCATCACACCGGACTTGTTTCGTTTTGAAGTTTCCGCCTATAACCCCATGTTGCGGCGTGGTTGAGGCACTATGCTATACGCCGGAAGATCGCGGATTCGATTCCCGATGAGGTCATTGGATATTTCAATTGACCTAATCCTTCCAGCCGCGCTATGGCCCTGGGGTCGACTCAGCCGCTAACAGAAATGAGTACCAGGAATATTCCTGAGGGGTAAAGGGAGGCCGGCACGTAAGGCTGACCTCACTGCCATCTGTGAGCCGATTGCCTAGAAACTGTGGAAGCCTCGACGTCTCGCAACCCTGTCGGCCCCCACGGCCCGTTTTACCGCGGGTTGCGGGAAAGTTGAATCATGAACGTGTGAAGGACTTCGCATGCAAAACGAAAACGGAGAGGCTACAGACGTCACTCAGCTAGAAGATCGCACCACATTACTAATTATTTGTTTTGTAACTCTTATGGACGTCCTTGGTATATTTACTTGCTTGGAAGAAACATACACTTCACAGGTGAACCTGCTTGGCGTGGCTTTTGGAGGGACAACGGGGGAGATACTGAGACTAGCCCACAGAGCATGAAACTTGACGTACTGAATCTTGAGCTTTAGTTCACTTGTAAACAAAATGAAAAGTGACGTTTACTACGAGATGTCACCTAAGTAAACAATATAACCAGCTCCACAGGGGTCCTTGAGAAAGTAACAGCAGCTCAGCTATTCAAGTAACTCCCCGCCTTCTGTTGAACCCAGAGGTTCATCACCGTATTCACAACAGCATGCCAATGGATACCAACCTTAACCAAACGAAACCACTTACATGCTGTGAAGAATCTGAGGTTCCCACATCGGTGACTATGTTCAGTACTGGGGTGTGACGCCGTGTAGTCGTACTGGTAGATGTTCACCGACGTTTGAGCAAGCCCAACTCTCCTTGCAGCCAGCTTTTTGCTGGTTACCGGTTGGCTTACCCATCGACCCTGAAGGAGGCAGTATAGTCCTCCGAAACGTCGGTGAACTTGCAGCAGACTACTCGTACACAGGGTCACGTTGCAGAAGATATTTTTCTTCAGTTCTCACTCGATTTCTTTCAGGTCCATCTCAATATTATTATTCCATCTGCGCCTAAGTCTTCCAAGTAGTCTATTCTCTTCAGGGTTTTCTGACTGAAAAAGAATCCTTATCTTAAATCGCAAGTCGGCAAAGTGTCCTTCAAACAAGAACACGAAGATGGAGACATAGGCAAGGCGGTCGGTTGTCTCCAGCTGCAATCTGAACAGACGCGAAGGGCGACGCACGAAACGTGCTACAGTCTGACCTCACGTCACTCATGCATATGCATTCGGTTCCGACTTCCGCCGTCACTTGGCGGGGCAGGCGGCGAACAAAAGCAACGCGGGGCGCGAATGCGTCTTGCGGAAGAAACTGCACTCGTATCTGAAGTGGATCTTGACGCCCGCGCCTGCTTGAAGGAGGTTCAATGTAACAGAGTAACACTTGCAAGTTCGCAAACTAGCAACACGAGTATGTACAGGGAAGAAATCATGGAAACAACATTCCACAGTATTCGCGACGGGGGGGGGGGGGGGCATTTGCCGCCCCCTCCCCCCGATTATGGATTTTGGGAAAAACCGAAAAAAAAAAAAGGNACTTTAAGCCGTGGGTCCCGTGTCGTAGCTTTACGGCACGTAAAAGAACCTCATATCTCCAAAGGAGGTCACTGAGCCAAATTAACGGACGTTTCCCGCCCAACAGCAGTCTCTAATACCTCTGGTAGATGGGGGAAGCATTATAGATACCACTCAGCTAGTAGAGCCGGTCTCGCTGGCTGGGCGGGACTGATGGTAAGCACCAGTACCGGTAGGATATAGAGACTGGTAGAAATCATAGAGGGAAGCACAATGGACCAATACTGGTCTAAGTGCATGAGGAAACACACCCTCTCCAATAACTAACTAACTAATTAAAAGTTCTTTGTAATTTTATTCTTTTGTTCTGAATCGTTTGGGGAGATCGGTAAAGATAATCCAAAACTACTTAAACATAAATTTGCACGTAAATTTTCGCCCCCCCCCCCCCCCACCAAACCCGCCCNATGCAAAAATTCCTTGTGCTGCGTGCTGCTGAACGTACTCAGTATCACAGAGTTGTGAGATGAGGACTGCGCACAGCATGGACGTCTGGATTATGTCGCTGAGACGCGAATCTTCGGGATAAAGCAAGTCAACTGGCGACTTCGTGAAAAATCGGCATGATATAGCGAAGCAGCCACTCGGAACGGACTCCAGAAGCAACAGCAAGAAGAAAGAAAGGCGGGGCAAGCCTACTATAGACGGTTGCGGTCTGGAATATGGGCGCAGGAAGAACAGACTCCTGACGAACTCAAAATGGCAAAAACACAAAGCGATAAAACCAGAAACTCACAAATGCATTGCAGGACACAATAGTCGGGAGTTCAATTGTGAACGAAGCAGTTAGTACTATTCCCACTGCGAGTATCACATGGCTCACATCCTTCGGCAATGAAGGTTCTAACGCCGACAATGGACACGATCCTGAGCTAGTTCAATCCAATCTCCCTCCCCATCTTCACAAAACATTTCCCAAAATCTACTTCAATGGTAATCTGATATCTCCTCAATGTCTCACGAAAGTACCTCGCCAAAATCCTGTATAAATTAACTGTCTAACTATCCTAGCTACATGGCCAGCCCAACTCACTGGGAGGTGCCTGTATAAACCAACAAGTTCCTCCCAATGTACGTCCCGGAGCACCACGTTTCCAGATCAGAGTCTTCTGTGTCGTCTGGTAGATATTTATCAACGTTTCGGAGGAATTTGTTGCCTCCATCTTAGGCGCATATGATAGAGGCAGCAGATTACTCCGAAAGGTCGAAATATATCTAAGACGATGAGCACCTGGTTCACAAGGGACTGTATAATCTTCACAGTTACCGCTCAGAGAACCTCAGACTGTTTTCATCCTTCAGGAAGCGGTCGGGGTATTGTGAATGCGGCAATGAAACTTGAGGTTCCACCGCATGGCGCTCACTCACCAGAGCTAGGAACTTGAGGAGAGACCGGTCCCCTTCGCCGGGTGGCTCCTTGCCGCCGCCAAAGTTCTGCACGTGGCTAGGACTCGACCTACCGCCACGACGCCATCGCTTGAAGGTGCTTACGGGAGCCACTGCTTCATTCTTGTTACCGGCGCTGGGTGACGGCCGCGACTTCCACAGGTCACTGACGTCCAAGCCCTTGTCCCCAGTCTGAAACGAACAGAACAAAGACAGTCAGCACAGAATGCAGCAACTGTGACATCCGAAGGCAGGTTTCCCGACACGCGGGATGGTAACGGCATGTACCATGAGCTGTAACACCAAAAGAACTCTGCCCACACAGTGTATTTATGTGTTCCGTATGATTCTCACATTGTATTTATGTGTTCCGTATGGTTCTCACAATAAACAGCGATTGTTTCCGTAAACAGCATTAACCGGTTGGGCTTTGTGGCGGAGACGTAATGTGTTTCCTGTGAGGTACGAACTGAACTCTGCATTCTGCCCACACAGTGTATTTGTGTGTTCCATATGGTTCTCACAATTGACAGCGACTGTTTCCCTAAACAGCATTAACCGGTTGGTAATTGTTACGTATCTTGTGAGGTACGAGCTGAATTTTGATATAGGCCTAAATTCACATTAACTTGAGACTGCTAAAACCAGGAGATGCTGTTCATGTGGGGCCCAGTACTGACGTATCAAGGCAGCTGTACTAACAATTGCAGCTAGACAACTAGACAACTCAAAATCTGTCTTCGAGCATTCAGGGGAGTAAGCGTTGACCAGAATTCTTACTGACCACCCTCCTAAAGTGGCACTCAGTACGACCTAAAGGAGGATATGAGCGGGTTACCTCATTAGCTGCACATCCGGGTTCTGTGTAGAACACAGTTCAAGACGAACGAACAATTTGCCCCCATTCCTCACTGCTCCAAGTCTTAAAGGCTATCGGTAGCGGCCTCCGTAGTCTAGAGGTAACGTTCTCACCTCAGGACTCGTGGTACGCGGGTTCAAACCCGGCGGAGGTCGTGAAATTTTTAAGGGCGGAAAAATTCAGGGAACAAGTCCTCAGGGAGGGACTTTAAGCCGTGGGTCCCGTGTCGTAGCTTTACGGCACGTAAAAGAACCTCTTATATCTCCAAAGGAGGTCACTGAGCCAAATTCAAGGACATTTCCCGCCCAACAGTAGTCTCTAACACCTCTGACAGATGGGGGAAGCATTATAGATACCGCTAAGCCAGTAGAGGCCGAACTCGCTGGCTTGGTCGGGACTGATGGTAAGCACCAGTATCGGTAGGGTATAGAGACTGGTAGAATATCATAGAGGGAAGCACAATGGACCAATACTGGTCTAAGTGCATGGGGGAACCCAGCCTCTCCAATAACTAACTAACTAACTAACTAACTAACTAAATAAAGGCTATCGGTGCACAAGACGAGGGTAAAACGAACTCCAAGGAGCAGATTCCTTTTTGAGATGCCGATAGACGCTCAGCTTACCGAGTGGACATAAGCCGGCCAGTGGACCTATTCTGAGTCAACTGAGTCTACCCACCCCTATAACTGCCTGATTAACACCAGTTAGGTGCTATGCTCCTTACCCTCTCTAGGTATTACAAGTGGCTTCTTCCCTTCATATTAACTAATCAAAACTCTATGTATTTACTATATATTCAATGACTGCTACATGTCCTACCCATCTTATTCTCTGATGTCAGCCTCCTACAAATTACGAAGCTCTGCCCTTCACTTTCTGCCTGTCACGCTACTGAGCAGCCAAGCCCTAATCGATCCCCCCCCCCAAGTACAACGCCGCGAAGCACTCTACAACCTGTACATGGCAGCCGGGGTGCTTACCCCTATTTTTAGTAAAAATAAAAATAATAAATATATAATATGTAACATTAATTCCAAAAATCTAAGTATTTTTTACTGTTCTAGCCAGAATACTCTGTGGCGATCAGCGGAAGCAGTCTTAAGTGGCTTAAGTTTGAAAGCAGACTCACTCTGACAGTTATGCTTACATAACTACGTTTAAACCGTCCAAGACAATTTCTACTGGTTGCCCTAGAGTATTTGGGGCAGATGCGTAATTCTTTATAAAAATACTCTCGATATTATTAATATTTTAGTACATTTCCTTCTTTATCAATACTGATCCTCCCCCAAACCCCACGCCAGGCGCCCATGACACCAGTACGTCAGTCGACTCACAGTTGCACAGCAACATACTCGCAAATCTCTCTTCAGATGTCATTGAAGAATGACTCATCTAACTAATTGCTTTTCTAATCTAAGACACCTGACTCATTCCTATGAATGACCAAAGTGACGGCCATTCAAGATGGCGAGACAGCGTATCCAGTTACGCCACACACATGTACAGGCAGAAGCATGCCGTGACGCGCCTTCGAGAGCCCTCAATGATTACGACAATTTCCTTCAAGCGATTTAAATGCAAACAAACACTAACGAAATATTTGTGTTTCTGTGACGTCTTTTCCTAGTGCTGATTTATTGTGAACACATTTCGTGTAGCTTGTACAAGCGACCGCCTCCCCCCTTCCGCCTTCTCCAAGGATCCGGACAGTATTTGGATTTTTACTTCACAGTACGGAGTCATAAATTTCTGGCGAAACAACAACGACCTTCTTGACACAGCCAGCCATAAAAAACCGTGCAAATAAATACACTGCTCTAGTGGCGCCCACTCAGAAAGACGAACCTCTTGTCAAAGAGGCGGTGGCCCCGATTCAATAGACCTCAAGTGGTCTTGGGAAGACCGAAAATTTGGTCACGGGTACCGACGGGACCCGAAACTAAAAATGACTGTTATTGCTACGTTCTGGCTTCAAAGGGTTAACGTCCTGTCGCGGATGTTACCTTCCGGGTATGAACGTCACGAACAAATCCCTGGATTTCATTCAGCTGGCTCTGGATAGGGGCCAGAGGCAGGCTGCTGTGAAGACGTCAATGTACTCTTGAGCTCCATATACGACTGGTAACAATCAGTTTCTCAGGAAGGATTCTGCGCCATGTCGCTGCCAACAGCAGGCCACCACCTTGCTTACTCGTAGGTACTCGTAGGAAGCAACCCTGCCGCGTGTTAATGTTATCTGAACGGCAAAACACACGGAAGTCATGGTGAGACCGAGTTTTAGAACTGCCTGCAGTCTAGTTGCAACTGTCAATACAACTGCCATAAGGCAGGGTGCCACATGAAAAACTTCCCCCGGCTTCTTCTCTGTCAGGAGATGCCACTAGTCATCAGTCAAAGTCGGAGTTACTTTACGACTGGCGGCTTACCGTCAATCAGTTTGCCTTGGCGTCATGCCCCTTGAGACCAGATCTTTATTACTGTCAGACAGTTGCGGGTTTGTTGATGTGGGGCGCGCTCTCCGAGGAGACGACGGGTCTGCCGTTTACAATTGCTGCTGGTCCTTGCCAGCGCAGTCATTCTCGGGTCCGAGTCTCGTGGTACTCGTGGCCATATTTTACTGTCTCAGATTGGAGACTTCCCTTTTCGTCGCCTCCTACGACTCGGAGGGCTATCCCCGCCTCCACGGGAGATAACACCCTCTTTGACTCTTATAAATAATATATTAAAATCCAATTCGTACCTCACAGGAAACACATTACGTCTCCGCTACAAAGCCCAACCGGTTAATGCTGTTTAGGGAAATAATCGCTGTTTATTGTGAGAACCATACGGAACACACAAATGCACTGTGTGGGCAGAATGCAGAGTTCAGTTTGTACCTCACAGGAAACACATTACATCTCCGCTACAAAGCCCAACCGGTTAATGCTGTTTAGGGAAATAATGGCTGTTTATTGTGAGAACCATAATACGGAACCATAAGTACACTGTGTGGGCAAAATGCAAAAAGAAATCGTAATATTATTAGAGGTGGTATACATAGTTATCAGTGTAGAGTTAAAAATAACAGTTTCAGTTGATAGCGTCTTCCAGCTGCATATCACACTGACGAGCACAATTAACGACGATCCTTCCACCGCTTGCGTAACATCAAAAATCCATAAACGTCATAGGAACTGATGACAGAGCACGAGCCTGGAAATTTGACTCATCCCCCTTCCAGTTTGTCATGTGTGTGGCTTCCGGTTTGCTCAACATACTCACTTTTCTGGTATGACCGACTCACACTCGTCACGTGACGACGGCACATTTTCACACATCAAAGAAAGGATCACAAAAAATTGTAGACCCCCCCCCAAAATCCTTCTTTTTGGTTTACTACACGACTCTGTCTGTCTACAAACCATTCAGCGTGCCCTCACGAATTACTTCGAATGGATTTAGAACGCATAATCGAGGCATTTGCCCGGAGGAAAGTCAGGAAACCACACGAAACAACTAAGTCCGGATAGCTGGTGTTCTGGCCGATATTCGAACCGAGTACCTCTCGAATAAGAGTCTACAGCGTTACCGCTACCAGCCTGATAGTCGTAAAAGAAAAAAAAGACCCCAGACGCTTGTAACCGGCTCTCCCAGATACAAGGCGCCGCACATCACAGCGTCGTTTTCTGCCGAAGACAATATGTTCTCATTAAATTACAGTGGACATTTCGGTACAGGATAAGCGGTCCTGTAGCACGCAGGGGAGAGATGAGAAGTACATTATTTTAGTTGGAAAACACCTGAATGGGAGACACTACATTGTAGACTTAGAAGATGGGCAGACAATGCTAAAAGGGATCAATTGGGTTAATCTGGTTTATGACAGGGTCCAGTGGGGTCTCTTGTGAACACGATAATGGACCTTAGGATTCCTTAAAATACAGCGAATTTCTGGACTAGATGAGCAACCACCAGCTTCTCAAGGACGACTGTGTTCCATGTTGTTAGTCTACACTCTTTCCTTTCTCAGTAATCATTCTGCAGAGAGTGGTCACACAGAGTGGGAGCGTGGGTTCGAATCCAATTCAGGGCATGGATGTCCGTCTGCGATTCTTCCGTGTCTACTGAGGGATGGGCCGGTCCCCCATCCAATCAGTCTTGTTAACTTTCTGTAGGACTCATATTTTCAGAATTTGATTCTGAACTGGGACACGGCAGAAAGGCTTAATCCATAACGACTGAACAAGAAACAGAAGGAACAGAACAAAAAAAATATTACTGAGTTGATTTTCACAGCTGTGCGAGACCATACACTAGTCTACACCGCGCTGTTACGAAGTACACTCTCTTTCAGGTCTACTTACGTTCCCACACACGCAGTATACCAATGTACATGCCATGACTCAGTGCGTCTCCCTTCCTCACTCCTGCTTCACTCGATACAGTATCCTGTATGTGCGTTCTGTCAGTGCAATTTAATATCTTTCCCATTCAAGTTAAGCCACTTTCTACACTGAAATGTCACCTCCACTTTTCTTTCGCCGGACAACCATTCTCTTCAGCAGCAGCTACAACTGATGTCTCTTCGAACAGTTCGTCTATGTATGAAACTAAGTTCCTACGTCACAGAGAACACACTGCGGCTCCATAACGATGACCAATCGGTTAAGGCTGTTTAGGGAAATAATCGCTGTTTATTGTGAGAACCATACGGAACACACAAATACACTGTGTGGGCAGAATGCAGAGTTCAGTACGTACCTCACAGGAAACACATTACGTCTCCGCTACAAAGCCCAACCGGTTAATGCTGTTTAGGGAAACAGTCGCTGTTTACTGTGAGAACCATACGGAACACACAAGAATACAATAACGGGAAACCAGTTTCCTGACAAAAGCTGCTAGCTATCAGCAACATGGAATTTTTAAAGTAAATCTCCCTCCGATTCTTTACAATGTTCCCAACGCTTCGGTCATTGTTCAAAACAGCTTTTAAAATACTGCACAGGAATGTATGTAGATTTTTTAACTGTTCGCAAAGTCCGATAAATGTTTCTTTCCTTTGAGTTATGGAAACAGGCCCAAGTCAGCTGGAGCCAAGTCAGGAGAGTACGGAGGATGGTCCATGGCAGAGATGTCTTTTCCTGCTAAAAACTGCGACACTCAAGCGAAGGATATGTCGGCGCGCTGTCGGGGTGAACAATCAATGAGCGATCTCTCACCACAAATCTCGTAGCTTGCTCCTCACGGCATCAATAAGACTTTTCAACACTTGCACGTACAACGTCTGACTAACAGTGGTCGGTGGTCCCTTCCGGTACAAATTCAAAGTGGATGATACCGCTGATGTCGAAACAGCAGGTCAGCACTGTTTTCATCTTGGACTTTGACATCCGTAACGTCAACATAAATCGTTTCTAACATCTATAACATTTCACTTGGCGATTTCTGCAATTGAACAAAAAATTCACATTCTCTGTTCCCTCTTACGCTCCATTTTCACTTCTGGACAAAGCTGACGACACAGTGATCTAACGGCTTACTGTTCAACAACGAACGCAGCCTATCCCAACTTTCTATGTGAGCTCTCTTCTTGCGTCACCTAACATTCCAACTAACAGCGCTACCAGATCACCCGGCGCGAAATTAAAAATGAGTCTCGAAGCTTATTTGTATGAATGTTAAAGCACGTGGTACAAAGAGTTACCACTCTGTATTAATGGGTTAACTGTCCGTGTTGGTTGGTCGATCTGACGTCAGTACCAACAGCGGAGAGACGCGCCCCACTGCCGAGTTCTGGGACACACGAAGCCAAACAACTGAATCTCGACTCACGCAGTCGTGCTTACTGAGAAACTGACAGTCGCTTAGCTATTCACGTCAAGTTTCTAGATACTATTGGGGAAGACAGACGATTCTGAAATGAATGATGGAAAACCTTTACCCGAATCTGATGAGATTTGTTCATGATTATAATTTTCATTCTGCCAATGTCGCTCTGAGACCCACTGGTTGCCTTTACATTGCGATATACATACCGCAGCCGCTTTCAGCGCTCGACCACCGGGTGACACAAAAACAGCAGTCACTGTCTGCGCCAGCCTGACCACACGCAATCTTGGCATCGGCACAGTTCCACTCCTCTCCGTTGGAGACGCGCGCCAGCAATACCACAGAGTTCAAATCCACATTCTCGACAGGTAATTACAACAACAGAACCACTGGATGCTCGTCACAAAATTCCCAGTTGCCTCGCTCTGGAGCAGTGACGGACGGGCAGATTCCTCAATATCCCGCCGCTGAAGCCCCAGTGACAAGCGCGAGCGAGCCTGAACTGCGAGGTCTCGGCCCCGCGCGGCACGCAGAACTTTCATCGCATTGACGTCACTCGGCGGGCTGAGCGGGCATGGTCGGCCCTTCCTGATACACTTTCCCCATCAGGAAGAACATGTACGTAACGTTATCTGTCGCCATAAAAGTGCAAACGCGTTTCATCAGGGGAGCAGACTGCCACAGTCTCAGATAAAGGGGCAAATCCCTGGACTTCTGGCATGTGACGTGATGCGGGCTGGCAAAGTGGAACAAACGTCATGAAACTAAACAACATGGCGTCACATCCCCGAACTTATGAATTTATTTATTCTGCTCTTGCAAAAACAAATATCAGTTTAGAGTGCAGTGTTTTGGGTTATGGCAACGTGTAGTTTGGTAGGTGAGCACCACTGTTTCGATGGAGCATACTGCCTCCATCTTCGGGAAAAAGTGATTTCTTGGTTATTACATCGTTTAATCTGGTAGTTGGGTACCGATGTTTCGGAGGATGCGGCCGTGACTTGATTTCAGCACTTATCTGGAGGGACTGAGAAAACCGCGAAAAACATCAGTCTCGTGGCCGATCTCCGGGCTGAAGCTGTTCCACTAGCTCGATCTGTAAGTACGGCGTCTCTAGCAGAAGAAGTTGGACTGTCGCGATAAACGGCGGTTGGTTCCACAACTTCGCACAAAAGAATGCTAAACAGAGCGGCAGCCTGACTACAGGAATAGTGTAACGCGCATGCTCTTTAATTACGAACACTACAAAGACTTTCAGTTAATGGCACCGTGCAGTCTGGTCGCTGGGTACCAGCATTTCAGGTGAACGGCTACCTCCAATATTCGATGTTAATAAAGTGCGAAATGGGAGGGCACTGCTTTACTTTCTGTGTTGTTCCAATTTTGGTTAAAATCGGGCATCAATAACGGACACTTCACTTGAAGACCTGCACGCTTTTCTAAACTCATCATGAGCGTAACCCGCTAAATATTTAGCAACGCGAAAAGTGTCTAACAGAAGTTGTGGAGAAAAACGCAACCTGCCCTTTACGTCCAGCAATTTTTTTTTCCCGCAACTCACACAGTTTGCGAGATAATTAAAAACAAACGCGAGAGAACGCGTAGGCACGCTTCCTACATTGCTGAAATGATAATAATAGACATGAAACATTTCTTCTGATCCCACAATAATCCTGATCATGTACTGGCAAAACCAGTTTGTTACAAATATTCCACACCATTATGTGATCTACATGTAAAAAGAGTTTACTTGTTATTTTCCCGGCATTGAGAATCAGTCGCGCTGCAACCATCCCCACATCTCACTGTGCTTATTTAGTAGGCACTATGATACAAGTCGAAGGTCGCGAGTTCAATTCCCGATGGAGGTCATTGGATTTTTCAATTGACGTAATCCTTCCAGCCGCACTACGGCCCTGGAGGCGACTCAGCTTCTAACAGGAGTACAAGGAATCTTCCTGGGGGTAAAGGACAACCGGCCAGCGTGTAAGGTTGCCAACCTCACCGCCATCTGTGAGCCGATTGTCTAGAAAATGTGGGAGCCTCGAAGTCTCACAACCCTATCGCCTCCACGGTCTGTTGCAGGAATTGCTTTACTTTTTTTTTGCACATTTCTTTCACAATTTGTAGTTAAAATCTGAAGTCCAGGGAAGAATAGGAATGGCAGAGAAAGAGAGAAGTGAAGAGGAGATAGTGATAAACGTCACATTTCAAAGGAAGGGGGACATAAAGTTTTCCTGCTCTGAAGGTTAAGAGGTAGTGCCCACTCGTCGTTCTGGTACGTTTCAGACAAGGTAAAGCTCTAGAAAGTGAAGAAGGTAAAGAGTCAGCAAGTGAATGGACTTTGCTACGAACAGAAGAGAGAAGTTGAGCAGGGGCTTTACTGTGTACGGTCGGAATTTTGAAGTGAACGCCGGAAGAGCGAAGGGCGCAGAGCAGTGTGGAATTTCGGTACCATCTCAGCATTTGCTCCAAGGCCAAGAAAAACACAGATAAATCTTTATCGAGTTGACTGAAACCTTGAAGGTCATCTAAATACATAAGAATCCAGATCGTACCTCACAGGAAACACACTCCATCTCCGCTACAAAGCCCAACCGGTTAATGCTGTTAGGGAAATAATCGCTGTTTATTATGAGAACCGTAAGGAACACATAAATACATTGTGTGGGCAGAATGCAGAGTTCAGTTCGTACCTCACAGGAAACACATTACGCCTCCGCTACAAAGCCCAACCGGTTAATGGAGTTTAGGGAAATAATCGCTGTTTACTGTGAGAACCATATGGAACACACAAATACGCTGTCTGGGCAGAATGCAGAGTTCAGTCCGTACCTCACAGGAAACACATTACGTCTCCGCTACAAAGCCCAACCGGTTAATGTTGTTTAGGGAAACAATCGCTGTTTATTGTGAGAACCATACGGAACACATAAATACACTGTGTGGGCAGAATGCAGAGTTCAGTCCGTACCTCACAGGAAACACATTACGTCTCCGCTACAAAGCCCAACCGGTTAATGCTGTTTAGGGAAATAATCGCTGTTTATTGTGAGAACCATATGGAACACACAAACACACTGTGTGGGCAGAATGCAGAGTTCTTAATGGCTGTAAGGCAAAAGAGTTGTCCCTGTGCTTAACTAATTAAGCACCACGCTACGAAGGCGTACGGGGGAGAGGATGAATGGATCCACCTTTCCTTGACCCCGTCACTAGTTGGTGAGTGGTGAGCTCCACGTCACGGCCGCTTTATCCCCGAGGAAAGAGCCCCCGCTACACATCGGATAAGAGGCTGGATGGGCCCCAGAGCTGGTATGGGCGCTGCGGAGAGGAGAAAATTGTGACCCTACTGGGATTCAAACTCTGATCCCTCGGCCGTCCAGCCCGTAGCCAGTCGCCATACTGACTGCGTTATCCCGGCTCCCCTTAAATGGCGGTGTATGCAATGACAACTCTGATTTAAACGATTAATTCAATGGCAGTTTCTTGCTATCAAATACTTACACCTTACGCGACACATTGTAGTGTCACATTTGTTGCGTGCCCCTGAATTTAAGCCACCCACAGCATAATATTTTGTCCGGATATGCGTCAGAGGCAGGTGCCATGACGTCAGAGGGCAGGCGACCTCAAACACCGTGACCCGTGCCTACGTGTCTGACTAGACAATGACTGGCATCACGGACCTCCCCTGTTTGAGCTGGGATAGCTCAGTCAGTATAGCGATTGGCTACGGGCCTCACAGCCGAGGAATTGGGGTTCGACTCCCGGCAGAGGCAAGCGATTCCTCTTCTTCTCAGCGTCCAGGCCGGGTCTAGGGTCCACCCAACCTCCTATACAATGGGAAACTGGGGCTCGCTCCCCGGGAGCACTGCGACCGGATCGTGAAGATGAACACTCATCTACATCTGGTATCGAAGTCAAGAACGGTGGAGCTATACTTTCACTCTCCCACGCGTAGTCATGGCGTGGTGCTTAAGTAACTGAGCACAGGAACAACTTTAACTTTACCTTTACTGCGCACCTTTAGGACTCCACTGTTCCCGACGCATGCGCGTACATTGCGGCTCCCAATGGGTTGCAAAGCCAACAGCAGGAATTCACCCCAAATTTACGGAACCCTAAGGGTAGGAATACAAACAGCGACATCGGTCGTACGGAAAAATGTCGTACAATTTTTTTTGCCGTATGACCTCCTTTTCACACTAGAGCGACCAAATACATTTCTTTGCTCTCCGACTGTCGTACGGTAGATGTCGCATGTCTTCACGTATGAAAGCTATGATCACACTTTATATTCTACTACTTGATGCGACATGAACCGTACGGACGTCGTACGACCGATGTCGCTGTGTGTGTTCCAGCCGTAAGGAGAACAACAGCTCGTCCCTGGTCCCAGTCTTGTGCCAGATGAATCTAGTCCACAACCTCACTACGGTATTTACTGAAAATCCGCTTTAATATTATGGCAGCATCTACGTCCAGGTCTCCCGACTAGTCTGTTTGGAAACTTCTTGACATGATCGGCGACCACCCGCATCTCACGGTCTCTACTCAATGCAGTTGCATTCACTGGCTGGAATCAGGCAAACGGAACCGAGCACGTTGTGAGGCAACGGTTATCTGCAAAGCGTTCCAGAGCATGACAAATTTGTATTGGAAATCGGATAAAACCGGTTCTGATTACGAAACAATGATAACATGAAACCTTTACTGAAGAGAACTGATTAAATCAGTCATCTAACTGCGACAGGCCTGCATCGTGTATGTACAACTCACCAGACGGAGCTATATATATATAATCACGTCGCCATGGAAACTGGTCGCAAGCATCAAAGTTTAATAGATCATGAGAAATTACGTTTTGTTTCCTTCTTTAAGGAATAACACTTGACTCTTAGGAAATATTACTCCCAAACGTAATGGCATTCATACCGCACAGAACTCATGACGCCTGATTCCCTTCAAACGTTTCATTCTTCCATATGGCGTACTTCACAGAAAGAGTTATATAACTCTGCTGTATCGGTGTAATTTCCTCCAGCACAGGTTACACTGCAGTACATAGTGACGATACATCCGAACTTCGCATCCACACTAGTCTCAGATAGTGCGCAGGCGTCATATGTGTAGCCCCTGCCTTTCATTACTAGCATTCATCAAATGAAGCACTAAATACAAGTTCCGCGTGTCCGCCTTCCTCACCCACATCCAGCAAAAACGCGCGCGCCTTGCACAAAATGCTATTTTCCCACCGCCCCAGCCCCATAGATGCACAATAAGCGAGCAGTACCTCTAGTGTCGTCCCCTCAGAAGTTCGCATTAATGACAGGAAGAACTTGAAACGTACAGATGGCGGCAGGGGTGGAAATTGTTGTTCAGAACCACGCAGACGCTCGATACCAGTGAAAGACCCCGGGGAATAACCTACTCCAAGGTAAAAAGGTAAAGTTGTCGGCGTAAGGGGGAGTAGATATATAGATCCATG